GTGGCACCAGCCTTCCACCAGGGAGCCTCGAGAGCCCGCTGCCGCGCTCCTCCTCCTGCTCCGCTGCCCCGCGGCCCGCAGCCTCCTCCGCCCACCGCCCAGCATCCCCCGCCGCGCCGCCCTCTGCGCCCCTCGGCGCCCCCCGGTCCCGCCCGCCATGCCCGGCCCGGCCGCGGGCAGTAGGGCCCGGGTCTACGCCGAAGTGAACAGCCTGAGGAGCCGCGAGTACTGGGACTATGAGTCTCACGTCCCGAGTTGGGGGTAAAGCCGCCCCCCCCCCCCCGCCGACCCGCGCCCGCCCCCCGCGATCGGCCTCCCCTCGGTGGCCGGCGCCTCCTTGGGTTTGTGGTGGGAGGCTAAGGCCCCTCTCGCACATGTCCTCGTCTTCCTCTTCCATACTAGTCCCCCTCTGTCCCTGAACCTGCTCTGCACACTTCTCTTCCCCAAGGAATGCTTTTTTAAAAAAAAAAACGGGGACAGAAGTGTAGGGGCCAGAGCCTGGAGGAAATGAGGGAACAGCCCTTCCTCACACTTTTGGATTTCTCTTGGGTTGGGAAGTCAACAGCTGTCCTCTTGAGCTATTAAAATTCTCTGCCTTAGTTTTCTGAGAAGAGGTTGGGTGGGAGGAAATTTTTTAAAGCATGCACTGCCTCCCTTCAGGGTGTGAGCCAGACAGGTGCTGTGTAGCCTTTGCTGGCCTTCCCCAGATTGGCTTTGCTTGCCGCTTCCTGCCCCATCTCCCCAGGTTTGGAGGGATCAATTAGGTTAGGAGCTCTGCAGAGTGAAAGGAGCCAAGTTTGTGTTGTGGCTTTCATTTAGGGAATGAGTTGTGGCATGATGTATGTAGACACTTTCAAATGTTGATTAAGGGAAGTGGCTGGACGGGTTGTGTAGTGGGCTTTGGCTTGGTTAGTCCCCAATCCTGGCATTTATGTGTGTCTTTTTCCTTTCACAGTAATCAAGATGATTACCAACTGGTTCGAAAACTTGGTCGGGGAAAGTATAGTGAAGTATTTGAGGCCATTAACATCACTAACAACGAGAGAGTGGTTGTAAAAATTCTCAAGGTGAGTGTCCTATGAGTGCCATATAACATTTTTATGCACAGGTCAAAAGGACATCAGCTACCCAGTTGCCTTCTAGAATGAGAAAGTGTAAACTCGTTTTAAGTATCTTCTGTCCGATGTCTCTCCTCTACTCCTTCTACTCCATTTTCCTGTAAACTTTTATGAAAATATGAAGACTGGGTCTCAAGTGTGACCGTTACAATTCCGGAACATCCTTGTTCTAAAGTGTAAATTATGGGCTCTCAAAGCAAAAATTCTAAAGGGCTTCATTTGTTACAGAATAAATAGGTGTTCAGAAGAAAGAAAAGCTTTTTAATGGAAATTCTGTCAGTCCAAGAGTTCCTTGAGCATTGTTATTCGTGATGCTCTGAGTTATTCCAGGAAGAACATTGTAAGGCATTATTGATGTTGCTTTAAAGATAAGTTCAAATCCCTTGTGGAGGGAAACTCCCTCTGGGTAATACCATATTTTTTCTTTAGCAGTAAGGTTTCAGGTTGGATGGATATAGTGAGCCATTAGTGCCAGGAAGCCTTTCTTGGGAAGTCAGTGAGCTGTTGTTTCTTCCCAACTAGTAAAAGTGAAATTTGGACCAATAGAAGAGAACATTTCTTTTTTTTGGTACCGGGGATCAAAGCTGGGACCTTGCACTTTCGAGGCAGGTGGCAGAACCACTGAGCTAAATCCCCGGCCCAGGAGGGAACATTTCTAATCACTGCAATAATAATTGGAACAAAACTGACTTAATATCTGGCTTAGCAATCGCAGTTTGATAATGATATACCTTTTGTTATCTTCCTGATGAAGACATGATCTTAATGAGCATGAAGAGCTGGGTAAATTTTCCTTCAGGTAACAGAATGTACAAGTTTAATAATTGTTTATAGGGTACACTCAAAAGTAATCCTTAGGGGCCGGGGATTTAGCTCAGTGGTTTCGCCGCCTGCTGCACAAGTGCAAGAACCAGAATTTGATCCCTGGTACCAAAAAAAAAAAAAAAAAAAGTAATCCTTAGAATCTATGAGGGGTGCCCATTATTACCACATTTAATGTGTGTACATGTCATTTAGTGAAAGATTGAGAATTGGGAGTGATGGATGAGTTTTACATGTACATGATTTCTGCTGTGGCAAAAATGCTATGAATAAGAGTGCTAGATTGAAAAGCTGTTCTTGTGTGTTGGGGCTGCTGTGTAGTTAGTCCTTGTTTAAAATGCATTCTAGGGCCAGGGATTTAGCTCAGTGGTTTCGCCGCCTGCTGCGCAAGCTCAAGGACCCGAGTTCGATCCCCGGTACCAAAAAAAAAAAATGCATTCTATAAATCACCTTTTTGAGAAATGAGCAGTCCCATCGCTCAGTACCGTCCTAGCCTAGTGATGAAGGAGCAGAATCGGAATAGAGAGAGGTACACAAGATCGTTTTTGTCAGAAACACTGGGGATGAAAAGCAAGGAATTGATGTTGAAGATAACCAGGTTTGACTCCTCTCTTCCCTAAATATGAAATACAAGATATCGGGCTGTTTGTTTTTTTAAGCAAATATATTTAAAGAAATGTTTCCTTCAAAGAAGTCAACTGAGGAAGCCATACAATCCCTTTATGTGCATAAGTATAAATGTTCTTAGTATAAGCTGCTTCAAATCTAAGTGCAAAACAAATTGAAGTTAGGAATATCCACATTCTACTGGTGTACATTCAGATGAGTTGCTGACGCTAAAGCAATTCCAGAAAAATGTTTAAACTTTTATGCAGTGGCAGCATTTTTAGAATAAGTGTGCAATTTCCTGTGGAGTCTATTTTGAAAGGAACAGCGTCCAGGTGTATGTGTAAATACCCATGTGCTCATTTAGGAAAACACGACATTGCTTTGTAGTCATCCTTACAAAGAGTTTCATAGGGTCAGTAGCTGGACACTTTCCCTCCACTAAAGGTTCTCAGGGTATGGTTAGGGAGCCCAGAATGGAAGCCTCGATGGATTATTTTTACAAAAGGGAGACCTAAGCACAAAGAAATGTACCTGACATCATTACATTGAAGTGTCCCTTAGTCAGAACTCTTCCTTCTTATTTCAAGTGTCTTCCTGCTTATTTTAGCATTGGATTATAGGATCTCAGTGTTGAGCATAGAATAAGTTCCAGTGTTCTGGAATGAGACTTAGGGAGCCCTCTTTAATGCTGTAGATAATGAAGTGTTCCTTGTTTCTTTTTGACATGGTTTCTATTCACGGGGCAGCCTGAACCACCATGTTTTTACTGGTAAACTGCGGTCCTTTATGTTTTTTCAAAGCCTTGTGACATTTCTGTCCAGGTTTTATTCCTATTTAATAGACTGGATAAGAAATCACTGATGGTATTACTGGGATTCTGTAGCAAAAACAAATTTCTTTTTGAAAAAGAAGAGTCCTTATCCAGAGTTATTCTCTTGCTGGGCATGGTGGAGCACGACTGTAAACCTAGCACCTTGAGGGGCCGGGGATTTAGCTCAGTGGTTCCGGCGCCTGCCTCGAAAGCACAAGGTCCGGAGTTTGATCCCCAGTACCAAAAAAACCCCGAACTTGGGAGTCTGAGATAGGAGGATCGCAGTGAGTTTGAGGGCAGCCTAGGGTACTTAGTTCAAGGCCAGCCTGTACTACATAGGGAGACCCTATCTCAAAAAAAGGAAGTTATCCTCTTTTAGTCAGATAAGTTGAAGTTGGGACTATTGTCTACTCTTCTAGTATTTGGTCATAGGAAATTAAGTCCTTAACAGAGTACCAGTTGTTCAATTTAGAGGAATCTAGAAGAGGCTTCATTATCACGTTAAGCCTACTGTATTTCAGCTGGAATTCTATGTCTTAATGTGCACATAGTGACCAAGATAAAGGGTGCATTCCTTGTGGATGGGATCTCCTCTTTTTCAGTCAGTAACTTTTTATGTCATTCTTTTCCAGTTTGTGAGAATGATTGGTTGCTGAATGACCATGGAAAGTTTATTTTATTTAATTTACCTCAACAATTCCTAAGTACTTTATCGATCAAAGTATATTGGGGCTATTGAAAGATTTTATGAATTATAAACGAATGAAGAGGGGCGGGGGATTTACCTCAGTGGTTCCACCGCCTGCCTCACAAGCATAAGGTCCAGAGTTGATCCCCGGTACCAAAAAAAAAAAAAACTGATGAAGAAAATTTTATTGCCTGACTCCAAGTGATATTCTAAGGCTAAAATCTCAAAAGAAACTTTCCCAATCAATAGAGAGGTTCTTTTTTGACAGAAATTGTTTTGAGGAGAAAAGAAAAAGAAGAGAGGAAATGGTAAGGGTTTATGTTGCATGGCAGAAAGCTATTTAGTGTCAAAAGTTTCATCTTTTGATGCTAAAAAATCAGTTCCTCAATTTCCTTTGTAGCACCTCTAGAAAGGTGTACACAGAAATAAAACCATTTGTCCATTTTGGACAACTTTTAGCGTTTTGTGAATACTGCCTGTATGGATGGATTTCGGCACTTCTTGGGGTCCTAGAGATCTTTCAGATTAAACTGCTATTTCCTGAGGAAAAGTCAAGAGCAATGCTGTTATTTAAAAAAAAAAAAATGTACAACATTTTGAACCAGTGCTGCAGTGAATTGGAAATTCCCTATAAGGTTTCCTGTTAATGGTATTGTTTTATAAACATCTTGGTTATCCATTTTTCTCCCCAGAAATGAATTCTTGAACTTAAAACAAAGAATGGTTAACATGTGTAGATTTTTTTAAATGTTACATTGTTAGGAGATAGTGTTAAAGGAGGATTAGTATTGATTACAAAGCATGTTCATAACTTTATAGTAAGCTAGTGGTCTTTATGTTATATCAAAATGAAGTTTTCTCCATGCTGATATTTGCTTTGTCCTTAACGTCTGCTTTCTCTGATGGTAGCTTTTTTACCCTTCATTTGTGCATTGTCTCTGAAGCAACACATTTAGTGGTTGGTAATTTTTTTTAATTCCAATTTTCACAAATGTCTGGTGGTATAAAAATAATTAAAACAGTATTGTACTTTGTCAGGCAGCTTTTTATTAATTTTATTAGTAAAAAGACCAATAAAAGTGAATAGATCTGTTTGTACTACTAGCAGTAAAAGCTACCCTATTGGACAGTCATACATGTACCACTTGTGGTTCAAGCTGGTGGGAACGTGTTAGAATTGTAAAATAAATGTTAAAAATTGTGTGTGAACTAGTTACTGCTGTTTCTAAAACTGAGGTTGTAGGATCAAAGATGGAACTTTAAGTTTTGTCAAACAGAATCACAGAATGTTGGAGCTTAGAAACCCTTAGATCCTAAATCTCTTTTTACAAATAAACCAAGACCCAAGCTGGGCATGGTGGTGTATGCCTGTAATCCCAGCACTTGGGAGGCCGAGGCAGGAGTATTGTCACAAGTTCCAGGCCAGCCTGGGCTACATAGTAAGTTCAGGGCCAGCCTGAACTACAAATCAAGACCCTCAAAAAACAAAACAAAAAAAATAAAACAGGACCCAGAAAAAGGATGTGATTTGTTTAGGGTCATGTAGTGAGTATTAGGTATAGCTGTGTCTGTATGTGTCATGTAGACTGAGTAGGTGTGAGAGACACTGGACATTTGACATCTTGATGTCCTGAACTGTGCTGGGAAGACTGAAGAAAATTCACTAGAAGTCAAATGAATTAATTTATTTTGAATGAAGTTTGGAGTTACTCTTCTGAAAGGAAGTATTTGACTTTGATGGGTGGTTAGTTGAAGTATGGAATAGATCCTCACCCAGAGTGTTTTAGCAGGGGTTCTCTGAGATTAGTATCCACAGCAACATGTTCAGTGCACAAGCAGTGTGTTCTGTGCTTTACTCTATTGATGTAAAACCTCAGTGAGCAGTGTTTTATACCTAAATCATTCTTCAAGTCTCATCCTGGTCATTTGTCAGATTTGGGGGTTTATAGTTTTATCCCTTAATATATTAAAGCTTATTTGAGAGTGAACCATGTGTGAAAAGAATATCTTGATACAGAG